AGGGGACCTAGCTGCGGGCTTGACCCTTAGGAGGAATTGACCCATAGGAGTGAATTTGTGTTAAGGAAGAAGCCATGGTCCAGGGCTTCCCTGGAGGGGCTCAACTGGAGGTCCCCCTAGGGTGACTTCCGGACAGATGCACGAAGGAGGATATAGTCAGACTTCAGGACACAGCTGTCCGAGTGGACATGGGACAGGACCCAGCGTCAGGCGGGCACCAGGTGTGGAGAGATGGCCGGGCTGCCCAGGATGGAGGCTCGGGCGTGGGGGGCTCCACAGCCAAGCCAAAGAAGCGGCAGCCTCAAGGCCCTCACCCTGCCCCTCCCAACACCCTGCCCCAATATTATGTTTATAGCTGTGTGTCCCTTGTTAAGAGGTTCCCTCCGGATGGTTCAAGAAGCAGACTCTACAAAACCCAGCTCCAGGGCAGATGGAGTAGGACAGGCTGGATAGTAAAAGATGACTCCTGGGCACAGCTTTCTGCTCCGAAGTTGGGCCAGGAAGCACTGCAGAATAAGGCTGAGGTGGAATTGACCAAAGACAGACTTGAGGTCTGGCTTTGGCCCTCACTGGCTTTCCCTGGGGGAGGAGACAAGGCTGTGTCTAGGGCTTCACTAGCCAGGCCAGGCAGCACGCAGCGTAGGTGAACTCCACATCTCATTAAGATGCAGGGTAAGGAGCCCTCCAAGTCAGGGCCAGGTCCCAATGTGTGCTGTGTCCCAGGTGGTTCACGTCTCTGAACCTTGATCTCAGTGTCTTTTTGTTTTGGTTGTTTTTTTTTTTTTCCAGAACCGGGGTTGAACTCAGGCCCTTGCGCTTGCCAGGCAAGCACTTATTCTACTGAGCCATCTCCCTGGTCACCTCAGTGTCTGTTAAGCAAGATAACAGGATGGTTCTATCATATTTCTTGTAGTTTCCCCCACTTCTTTCTTTTTGTATGGGGGCGAGGGGACTGGGTCTCACTGTATTGCCCATGTTGGTCTCAACCTTTTGGGACTCCAGTGAGTCTCCTGCCTCAGCGTCCTGAGTAGCTGGGAGTGCAAGTGTTGTCACCATGCCCAGCTTCCTATTCCGTTCATTGTCAGAATGTTCTAAGAAGTAAATGAAATGCAGCCTTGCTGACAGCGCTGTGTTCACTGCCTTACCAACTACTGTTTGCTCACACTTCCTCAATAGAGCCTCCTAACGACTCTGTAGGGTACAAGTGAGGTGCCCATTTTGCATACCAGTAAAGTGAACGAACGACCCATGAGTTGGGGGGGCGGTCCGCAGGATGCCCTCAGCAGCACCAGGGCCCTACTCTGTATAGAAGGTGGTACTCAGATGTCCGGCCCCGCCAGCATGTCCTGTGGTAACTGACGCACCAGCCTGTCTGTTTCAGTCCCTCAGCCCCTACACCTGCCTGCCACCTCTCAGGGAGACACCCCGGCCTCTCAAGTCCTGCAGATCACACCCTGATTCTTCAGCTGACCTGCTGTCCGCTCTGAGCCAGGAGGAGCAGGAGCTCATCAGGCCTGTGGTGGCCCTGGGATACCCCCTGGCCAGGGCCATCACAGCTTTGCAGAGGACAGGAAGACAGAGTCTGAGCCAGGTGAGTGGGGCTGTGGTCCCCCACGGCAAGTGGCCGTGGCGTGGGTCCTTTTGCCTTTCAGTTGAAAAAGTTTTGCTTCCTTCTTTTTAGAGGAAAGAACACTGCCTCAGCCTGGTGTTAATTCCTGGGGTTTGTGAGCAAGTGTCCAGACACTTCGGATGCCTCCCTTGTAGGCATTTGTCAGCCGTTCCCACACCCACTGACATAGGCTCCATGTGCTACCCCTGTCCAGTTCCTGCCCCAAGTACAGGGAGCTGAGCTTTGGATGATCAGAGATCTCTCCCAAAGGGCCCAAGAGAACTTATTCTAGTGGGTTGTCTGTTTGCAGGACTGAAGATTGAA